CTCATTGGCTCCCAAACATAAAAACTTCACCCTTAGGTGGATTTCAACACAAAGCAACAAGAAAGATCTCACCAAAGTGGCTGAACTTCTATTATTGAAAACCAACTGTAGAAGAGTTCAATTGACGACCCAAAACAGTAAAAATCAGATGTGGAAGTGAGGAATATGCCCCTAAATTTTCAGCTCGATCAGAGAAGAAATGAGCCTTGAACAAGAGTAAGAAGTGGGTTGTTGTCTTCCACTTTTTTCTCTCACAAAAGAAGTTGTCCACTCTCAATGTTTTCTACAGATTTTTTCCACTCAAAGTGTAAAAACCGGTCAGGCACTTGGAAGACCAAAGGTCTTCAAATCTTGGCTTGTGCTAGACTCTTCCAAGGTAGAGTTCCAATGTATACATGCACATATCTTTAATTTGAGTAGGGTCCCATTGAGAAGATATAAGAAGGGACACCCAACAAAGGATTAATCAATATGCGCGTAAACTGATCCAAACATCTCTGATCGTTGAACTAAAAAAAGAAAATAAAAGCTCTTATAACAACTTTATATCAATTTTATTTAGTAGGAGATCACGAATTATAAATCTACTCTCTATAATTGAGTCTCTATCTTATCAAAATAATTTATATGCTATTGAGTAAAAATATATTAAAAAAAATCTGAATTTATAAAAGTGATAATTTCGTAAAATGCCATGAGGTGACCATTTGAGCATGTGACAAAGAGCATGTTACTATCACCCTTGTGCAAGTGGTAGAGTTCTCCTTGGCCTCAACGTGGGCTGCTAAACTTTGGTCACGACCTACCCAAACACACAGCCAAAATGAACGTTTCATGAATACAATGAACTGCAAACCACAAATGTCTCAAGGGAAACCCCATGGTGTTGGTTACCCCCACTATAGCTCCACAACTTTTTAAATACCCTACTTGCAATGTCATGTTAGAAGAAATTAAAGAAATTAAAGAATCGACACACTTGTTAGTTTAGTGGTCGAATGTGGGATAAAACATTAATTCTTACGTTCAAAGTTTGAGTCATCGAGATGTATAAAACACGAGTTTAACCAATGCACATGACAAAACCTTTTTCAATCTGGTGAGATTGTTTTACTGGCTTCGGTATCATACAATAATTTACAAATAAATAAAAGTTAGTTACAATTCATACATCTTGCACAAAACCTAATAGACTCAATGAGAGTGCATGAAACAAAAACTTAAATTTGAACTTCTTGAGGTTAAGGTTTGGTCTAGATGCCCATTTTGAGCTTTTAAAGGAAGCAAATGAAAGAAGAAGTTTGATGAGCTCCGTTAATTTTTCTCTCTCCGATTTTCTCTATATCTCTTAAATCTTTACTTTAAATCTTATTCTTCTCTTCATATATATACATATATATATATATATATTCTTACTCTTGAAATCATATGAAAAATGATGATGCTCGGAAATAATGGCCCAAGTCCAGAGGGATATTTGGGGATTATGATGGATAAATCAGTTGGAAGATCAACTCATGGAAGAGAGAAAAGGGCAATGTGTAAGTGGTTCACCTTAGCCGAAGGACTAAGGCTACATCCACTGTAAGAGAGTCTCTTGCTTCTTGAGGTTGTATATTATTTAATTTTTAGTGAATACAATGATTTTGCTGGCTCAATGCCTTTATAGGGACGAATGTTCAAGTAAGTCTCACTGTCTTCAGCACTCGAGGGCGTAGCGGGGAAGAAGACTTTGTTCCTTGTGGTAGGGTAATAGTGTTCTATTTATATCAGTGATCCCCTTTAGGGTTTTCAGAGGCTTCTTCTTCCTTTTTGTTGATTTTGTGGACCCTTATGTTTCTGTCCTGCAACAATCTCTATTATTTGGCGCCATTGTGCCCACAATCTTTAGATGATTATGCACACTAACACCCTTTGTATCAGAGAGTGCGTGATTTTCATGGGTATCAGAGGTGGTCCCTTTGCCCTTAGGACACGTGGCGCGGTGGGAGTGTTCCAGACTTTGCGCTGGGCTGGGTTTTTTTTTTTTATTTATCCTGGGCTGTTCTTTGGCTGGCTTTGATTGGGGCTAGGTTAGACCGCAAGTATTCTGGTGCCGTTGGGGTTTGCCCTTTGGGCTCATCCTTCTCTACTCTTGATGTGGGCAGGCTGTGGGCGATTCCTTTAGGTCATTATTTAAGCAAGAGTTTGTTACACTTATTGGGCTCTTGGACCATGGTGGCCCATACCCAAGATCCCATCATTATTAGTTGCCCCCAGGCCCAGGTCATGAGGATGACGTTAGCTCTAACCTGGGGTTAGAAACGTCTTTTTCAAATATGACATTGTTTACCTGAGTGCCGATAGTGCTTGATTGTTGGCTCTGACCTGAGTTGGGTTGCGTTAACATTTGTCAGCTATGATGAGACGATTATGCACACGTGTAGCTTGTGGGTAAGCCCATTGGTACGGTTTTCTTTGCGTGTTCTGTCACATGTCTGTCACGAATTAAATGCTATGTTATAAAAGAGGGGACATCTCTTCGCCTCTCCCACCTTATGCTTTTTGAAACCTCTTCTTTTCGTGCCTCCTTCCTTCCTTGAAGTGTCTTGTTCCAAGCTCTTTGGCAATTTTAGGATTTCTGCATTTTTAGTTCCCTCCTTCTTCTAGCATTCGACTAGTTACATTTCTTTTCCCTTTTTTTTGCTCGATCTGGATCCCTTCAACCCTCCCTGGTGGGTTTTGAGTTTTGCTTTCTGATTTGGAGGTTTAGTCACTTCAGGAATCATTTCAACAATTTTTCTTCCCTTTTGCAGTTTGTAGATCATTTCTCGTTGTTAAGGATATCTTTTTTTAGGACATGGTGTATGAGACCTTTATTCTTGACAAATTGTGCTTGCATTTGCCTCCTCTTCATTTCAATTTGTGATTTGAGCCATTGATGGGGAGGGTTGTTGTTTCTTCTTCTTAGTTTAAGTTTGAGGAACAGGTCGATGAGGAGGTTGGGCAGGCAAATGCGACTTCCTTTAGTGGTTGTTCCCTTACTACTGGCGAGGACGCCTCTGGGTCCACCCTTGAAGTTTTGACCTCGGCTCCTTTAACAGAGGCTCAAGTTCCTTTAGCCTTACCCCCTATTCTTTCTGATCAATCGAGGAAGAGGAAGTCTAAGTCAATTTTTCCTTTTATTCCTAGGAAGAAAACCCGTCGCGATCAATCCGACCTGACATGTTGTGCAGAGACGAGTCCCAGTTGTCTTGACAATGAGGATTTGGAGGAGTTGAGGTAGGAATATTATTTTTCTCATTTCATGTCTTTGCATTCTCCCGAAGAACATGAGAGGTGCAATTCTTCTATCCCCGGGTTGACCTACTTCTTTGAATCTGCGTTCTGGATAGGTCTTCGGTTCCCAGTCTATCCCTTTATTCGGAATGTGCTTGGTTTTTACAACGTTTGCCCAGCTCGACTTTTCTCAAACGGCTGGGGCCTTCTAATTGGATTCCTCATTCACTGGTTTGAGAGATGGAATGAATCTCCCCCCATCATTCGAGAATTTGCCTCTCTCTTCTAGCTTAAGTCTTCTCTTTCCTTGGGCTTTTTGTATTTCGCCAAAAGGGTAAAGGCAAAGAATCTGATTTTCAGGCTCCCCTCCTTCAACAAGGAGTGGAAACCTCAGTTCTTCTTCATTATAGGTGATTCATAGGAGTTGTCAGGGGAGCCTGGTAATGTTCCTTGCATCCCCCAATTTTGGGGTACCAAGAAACACTAGTAAGGCCAACTGGTTGGCTATGCTCTTCTTTTTGTACTAGTTCTTATCAATATCTTGCTAACTTTTGATTTGACCTGCAGGCATCTGTCCAACACTTGACACGGGGAGGCGACTAGAGTTACTAGAGTTGAGGCTTTTGGGTTGCGAACTTTTCTCGAGCTTGTGACTGACGAAAACCTCGCAAAACACAAGTTCAGGCTACCTGTCAAGCTTGCTCTAGAGATGGTGCCTCCACTTGCCCCCAGCCTGAGCCCATGGACTCAGATCTCATTATAGCCATTTTCTTGGATGTGGAGAAAATGAGGAAGAAAAGGAGATTGGTGAAGAGTTCAGATCTTCCTCCCAAGGGAGGGCAGACATCTGTTAGCATGGAGGAAAAATGTGAGGTTCTTGCCTCCCTTAAGGGCACTGACTTATATTCCCTGCCCTCCAAGCTTTCCAAGGAAAAAAATGTGGTTGAGGGGTTTTTACCAGCGCAGCCCACAACTCCATCAACTTCCCTCATCCATCCAAAGCCTCCCTCTTAGAAAGCCGACAAGGGGGAATCTGCCCTCCCCCCATTGAAAGACTAAGGGGATGGTTTTCTTCACGATCCTAAGGCTGTAGTGGCTGCTCTGATCAATTTGGTCCCCACCTCGAACCCTGCAACGGTTAGGCGTGTTCCTTTTAGGAATAAGACTCATCCTGTCACTCGGGGCCTAGCTGAGGTATTTCGAGTTTCCTATTTTAGCCTTTTTCCCTGAAGTGTTCATTTCTAGATGATTTTATGGTCCTCCTTGTGCTAACCAGTTTCCTTCTTTGTTAGTCTCTCGCTTATGTAAGAATGATGGATTCTCATTATAAGCAAGAGCTGATAGAAGCCCAGAATTTGGTTGAGGCCGCAGTGGCGGGCAAAGAGGTTGCTGAAGATAAGGTGAAGATTCTATCAGCTGAGACTGCCGAGCTGAAATGGATTCACGATGAGCTGGACACCCGCTATTAGGACCTCTCTAGGCTTAAGGATTCCCAGCTGAACACCCAAGAAGCCGAGCTTAAAGCAAAAGACACCGAGCTAGTGACCAAGGACATCGAGTTGGCATCTTTAAGGGCCAAGGTGTCTGAGCTTCTGAAAGAGGGTGTTGTCGCTTTTGTGAATAGGTTCTTGAATTTTCGAGAACAAGTAGAGATGGTTTACCCTGACCTTGATTTGAACTGCTTCACTCTTCAGCTCAAAACGAGGAAGTCGATTGGGGCAGTTGATTCAACTTCCCAGGGTATGGAGGCTGGGGCATCTAGGACAAAAAAGGACCCTGTGGCCCCGGTGACCAAGACTGAAGGGCCTGGTGGGGAGAACGAGGCTGAGGAGGTTGGCGATGGTGAAAGACCCGCTGCTTGCACTTGCTTTTTCGTTGTTTCTTCTCTTTTCTTCCATTGTAACTCCTTGGACACTGTATTTTTCTCCTATCAATGATACTGCTATTGGTTTGCATTACTGGTTCTTTGTGTTTCACAAGTGTGCTGATATGTACTTTGTTATGTTCTTCATTGGTACCAATGGGTGAAGATGTTTATCTTGAACCATGTCGTTGCAGAACTTATCATCAATTCCAGTGACGACAGACTATGATCTCCAGGTTGCCTTTGAGCGATCTTGGCAAGAGTGAAAACTGGGTTGTATGAGCTGACCCCACCCTATTTTTTGGGCTGGTCTTGTTAACTCGCATGAGCTGACTTTAACAATTTATTTTCTCGAGTCTGTCCCTTGCTAAGCATCCTCATTTAGACTTTCTAGGGTTACTTTGGACTTTTTCATTCCTTTTCGTGTACTCCAGACTTGGCAGTTTCATTCGGTTGAGAACATGCATCGTCAATGGGGTGAGTGGCTCCTCAAAAGTTGTGCCCTAAAAACTCTCATAATGCCATGTGTCCTTTGCCTTAAATATGAAGGACGTGCATTAATTGCACCATGTAAAAGTGACTGGTGCATGTCTACTTAGCCTATAAATAGACCACCCTTGGAGAATGATTACCCTACACTGAGCGCCAAAAAATTTCCACTCCCCCTTCCTAGTGCGAGATTTCTTCTTCGCTTGTGCTTAGAAAACTCAATCGTATTCTGTTCTCATGGTCAAGACTCCTTTATCTTACGATATTATGGAGCAAATCTTTCCTGGTGTCAAAGCTAGTGAAATCAATGAAGGGGAGGCTCAAAACATTGCCAGGTGTTTTGGGTTTCCTACTGCAGTGGTCATTCATCATTCTGATTGGAGTCGGTTTCACACCATTCTGATGGGCTCAATTTGCTTTTTTAAAGCCCCTTTTTTGCTGGGACTTCATTTTCCTCTTTCCCCTTTCATTCGGCGGGTTTTATACTTCTTTAGTTTCTGCCCTGCCATGCTCTTCCCATCTGGGTGGGGGGTGTTGCAGGAGTTCATGGTGATTTGGGAAAAGCTATTTCCTCCGTCTAGGGTCAATCTAGTTGAGTTTCTCAACTTTTACCACCCAGAAGAAGTATCTGAGTTCTACCATTTTGTCCCCAGGCGGGGAAGGGAGATCCCCATCATTAACCTTTCTCTAGAGCTAGAAAGGTAGAGGAGGAGATACTTCTTTGTCTTTAGAGATGGCTGAGAGTTTGAGTTCCATGTTTCAGAATCGGTCTGGGTTCCCATGGCTTGGGGACAGCGCAAGAATCTAGGTGAGTTTACACATATTGGCTTGCTTTTGCAATGTTCACTGTTGTCCTTTTTTCTTCTCCTGTAGTGACAATGTTATTTCTTTTGACGTTGTAGGCCAACTGCCACCCTTATCTGGTGAGGAGTTGGCTCGGGTCAACCAAGCCCAAGCTCGCTTGCCATTTTCTTACATTGAGTTGATGTACCCTGAGTTGGCCTCGGCACCAAGTGACCGTGAGTATTTGGCGTTCTTCCTTGATGTCATGTTTTTAATTTGTTCAAAAACTTACTCCCTTTTTCTGTTTTGCTTAGCTAGTCCCTTTGTATCTGGTCACCCAGCAGGACGTGATCATAGAGCAAGTAGGTTAGAGGAGGCGAGCTAGGAGTTCAGAGCCTCTAGGGAAGAGGGCTAGTCTTGGGGAAGGCAACTCGAACCCAACCTTTGGTGCAGGATCCGAGATCAAGCTTCACTCATATGCCCGAGGTGTTGTCTGATGCTGCTGTGGTGCTGGTGTTTAAGCCTGTGTCTATGGCTGGGGAGGTGCAGGAGCCAGAGCTAGGAACTGGTGTGGGGGAATCCACAATGGGCACAGTTGTGGTTAACCCGGTGGAAAGGCCAATTTGGCGAGATTCTTCTTCAGCTGGGTTTATGGGTTCTAGCTCTGATCGCTCCCCTACAACTCCGATTGTCAACCTCGAGGGAAGCTTATAGAGATATGTGAACCTGAGCAGTTGCGCACTTATGGACTTGATTCCACTCGCTGACCTGTGCCGCTTTGTCAGCCTCCCTTTTTGAGCTAGGAGCCGAGAAGCGCTCCACACCCTTCTTGAGGCAAGTCTTGCCCTTCCCTTTATTTCTCCTTGTTGTCACCTTTGTGACATTGTGATTTTTATCCTTGTCCTCAAGCGGTGACGCACATTTGTGCTCTTGGGGGGAGATTCATCACGTACAGAATGACACCCATTGAAGGGTGGACGAGCTTTGGAAGGTTTGCTAACAAAATACCGAGCTCTTGAGCTAGGGTCTAGCTACCGAGAAGGAGCTGGAGGATGCTCTTAACTAGTGGGCCTGGATCTTTCGGTAGTTGATTGCCAGCACCTCCTCCGAGGTATCACTTTGAGAAGAGCTAGCTCGCTCGCGGCAAGACTATGAGGCCCAGACTGACAATCTGTTACACTCTGAGATTGCCCAGACAGTGTTGGCGAGGCAGTTAAAGGAGTCCAAAGTAGTGATTGCCGAGCTGAACAATTCTCTCGCTGCTAAACATCGGTTGGTTGAGGATCAACGCAAGGAGATTGAGACAGCCCGATTAGAGGCTACCAGGGCTTTTGTTGATGGGTTCTTTAATTTCTCCAGTCAGGCGATTGAGAAATTCCTTGGCCTGGATCTTGAGCAGTTTGTGCCACGGTTCAATCTTCCTCCAGGTGGTCCTTCCAGTTGTGGTTCTTGAAGACCAAGTTTTTTTTCTTGGATGTAATTTTCTACGCTTGTAAGTACTTTTCGTTCTACAATGAAGCTCCATTTTCTTTGGTCATGAAGTGTTGTTAATCATTTGTCCTATTCCCTTGTCCCCTCCTCTAAAAAGGTCTTGGCCTATTTTCTTGATTTTCTTTATTCTGAGTAGTGTTGCCTTTAGCCCTGAGCGAGGGCTAATCTGGGCTATTCACTGGTCAAGACTGAGCGTCTCAAATCAAATCGAAGATGTTCGTGAATTTGTGGGGTTTTGACGGAGAAACTGTACGAATAGCTTAGGCAAGTTGAGCTAACTTCTTCTTCTAGGTTGAGGTGCTAACTAGCTTTGTAGTTGAGGAGTTGCCTAAGGGGTTCACGATAGGTCATGCTTCATGAAAAGAACCAGGTCGTTCTTCAAGTGGAGACCTATGTCGTTCCTTGGCTGAAGAGTCATACCGTCCCTTGGTTGGGGTCTGTCCTCAGGCGGGTCTGCTCAGCTATATACTTAAGCGATTTTATGAAACCTTCTTTTGTGATTGTACTTCTCCTATGTCGAAGTGTACGAATTCAAAAAAAAAAAAACTCTTTAATGAACAGACTGATGGCCCACCAACCGTCACCTACCTTTGCACCATTATCATTGAATGTTATCATGATTGCAGAATTTCAACAGTCAAATGTCGCTTCTGCATGTTATTTATTCCCTAGTATTTCGAACTCTTCATGTTCTTACTACTCCTCAGAGATCTTTTTGCTCCTTGCTCATTCTTAGAGATACTTTGCACTCTGCTCTCTCATTCTTCTTGCTCTTGAGACTCATGGCCCCATCTCATTCTCCCTTGTTCAAGCAGCGTGCTCGTGACATGCTGAATGACTCTTGGTATTCCATTTTCTTTCTTCTTTCACTACTCATTACTTCTGACATGGAGGAGATAGGGAGGTGATAGACTTTCCTAATGACTTGGTGCTTGACAAATTTCCTTGTTGTTTCCTAACCTATAAACATCACCTTTTAGCATGTATAGTATATAAATAAAGGGGAGTGTCACTCTCTTAGGGATGATGTCAAAAGAAAGGGCAACAGAATGGTGGATGAATGAGATTTCAAATGTGAGTATGTGTGAACAAAAGTGCTCCCCAAGCGCAAGGAGACTTTCGCGGATCGTGTTTTACTTGGTGGTATTCCAAGGTCGTTTCCACGGGGAAGGAAGTAAACCGAGGGGAAGGTGATTTTGGGAGAAAGAAAGTGTAAAATCTTTGATTGTTGGAAGTTGTTTTGATGCTAGTAAAATGAGAAACAAATATTGGCAAATCCAAGAGGTCACTCCAATAGGAATACCGTCTCAACTCAAAACCCTCCTCCAATAGAGCATGAATGAACGATTGATTCGTGGGAAGGTAGGGGTAAGATTGGTGAGTATCTAAGCATAAACTGTGACTAGGTCTACGGAATATCAAAAACTCACCAAGTTATCCACCCTCAACCTAGTCAAATCGAACCATTGAACTCTGAAAAGAGGGGAGGAGAATGAGTTGAAATGGTATACCCAAGTGGAGGTTCCTCTTGGTTTTGCCAACTAAGAGATTTAGCTATTCATGCTTAAAATAAAGACAACAATATGATGAGAAGACATTATAAAAAAAAAATAAAGACTAAAACTAAGCATAAACGAATTGCATAAATTTAACTTCCGAATAACCACCTCTTACTAAAGATTGGATGAGAAACTACTCACTCTTCATAGCTTTGTTAAAACTAGAAAAGTGAGTGATGTTCATCCCTCCAAGTAGAGGAGTTACAAGGTAACACATTTTACACAATGAGCCGATCTTCGACAAAGAATGAGTGAATCACGTTCCACTCTTCACGGCTTTGGTAAAGCTCTAGAAAAGTGAAAGAGTTTCACTCCTCTAAGGGAAGAAGGAAGCTCAAGCAATGGAAGTAAAAGAAAGCAATAACACAATAAAAGAAAACAATACTTAAAGTAAAAGAAAGCAATAAATTAAAAGGAAGCAAGAATACAATAAAAGAAAGCAATACTTAAAGAAAGCTATAAGCAATAAGGAAAGCAATAATACTTTTGGAGGGTTTTCCACTACCAAAAGATGAATGCTTTACAAGTCCTAAGGGGTGGTATTTATAGGCAACAAGGGAGGGTGAAAGTCTTGTTAGGTGGCCTTGAATCTTGTTAGGTGGACTTGAAGAGTCTTGTTAGGTGGACTTGAAAATCTTGTTAGATGACTTTGAATCTTGTTAGGTGGACTTGAAAATCTTGTTAGGTGGACTTGAAAATCTTGTTAGGTGGCCTTGAATTCTTTGATCCTCCTTTGTTTTGAGCTTTGATAATTGGCACCCCAGTAGTTTGTAGCTTTAATGCAATTGGCTCCCCAGTAGTTTGTAGCTTTGACGCACAAAATCCTGAAAAGAACAACAATTAATGCATTATCCTTTATTCACACACTAATTCTAATTTGATTTATTTTGACTAGTTTAACTTTATTCAACTAACACAATTTACCTATTAAATTATCCCTTAAT